GCCCGCGCCAGCCCGGGCGGGACACGTGGTGCTTTGGCCGCCCGCGCTCTCTGTGCTCGCGGCCTCCGGGCCTCAGCAGCCCGTTCGGCCGCCGCAGGAGCTGCGGACGTCGCGAGGAGAAGGGCGGGGACCAAAAGGGTCGGCGCCGGGAGGTGGGGCGCCGCGACGTGAGCGCCGTGAGGGCCGGGCGCGGGGGGCGCAGGGGGTCTGCTTCCGGGGTTCGCGACCTGCGGGCTCCGTCCGGGTCTCCAGAGACGAGCGGATTGTGTCGCACCTCTTTCCCGGAGCCACTTGGGGCGGGGGCGGCGCACTGCAGAGGCCCGGGTTCCCGCGGCTTGAGGGAAACGGCTGAGGGCCGGAGGATCTGCTTGCACAACCCCCTTCTCGCGCCCGCCGGGATCCCAGATCAGCTGCAAGCCTGGGCTGGCGTCCGCCTCGCGGTCTTCACCCACCCCAGTAAACCATACCCTGTCCCCGTGTGGAGATGCAAACCACTGAAAACCGCAGCGTGGACCCGAGCTGCCCTTTAGGACAGTCTCTCCCTGGAAAAATCCCTCTCGCGACCACAGCCTGTCGTCTGGGGACAGCTAAGGAGACACTGCTCAAAACTGGGGACGAAGACTTACCTGAAGCCGCAAGCTCATTCCGACTTCACCAGTGACCTTGGACGCCTCTTCTAAACAAGGTGTCTCTGTTGAACTTCCTGATTCTGGGGATAAAGGTGGCTATTCACTTTCTAACTCTAAGGAGGTAATAGCGACTGGGTTTAAGAAAAAAAAAAACACTCCAGACATCTTTAATAACAAGTGCAATATAAATATAATTTGTATTGACTTTAGGTAAGGTTGAAGGAAACCTTAAGACTGGGAAGAAAACCGTTTTAATTTGTTAGTACAAATGCAAAACTAATTCATCAGCCCCTCTACCTGTTTTTCTGGGAAGGTAAGTTTGAAGAAATTGGTGGGAAGATACTTTCCTCAGAATTGCCAGAGCCCCATGTAGCCCCATCCAGAACGTTCAGTTTACTGAAGAGTCTCATGATGAAACTGATTTCATCATTCTGTCCTACCATAGCTGAGGGTCAAAGGGCAGCCCCTCAGTTTGGCTAAGGGCTTTTCTTGGTGAGTTTCTTGTTACGTTATTTACTTACTCTTAGATCAGTCTTCATTTTTACCCCTAAAGGGAGCTTTCTTCACAGAAGAGTGCTTCTGGAGAGTAGCATCCGGTGGTCCTTACCCTGACTGCTTTCTCCTTTCCCTGGCTCCCTTTCTCACCATTTTCACTAGAGTTTAGCACACACAGTTTAAAGTGTAACAGACTTCTATTTATGTGTGAGAGAACTCTATACAGTTGAAATGCAGTCTCACATTACTTGGCAAATGTGAAATGCATGAAACATTTTATTCTGTTGTCTCAGCTCATTTTCCTTTGGTTTATCTTCTATTTCTGTCTGATCATAAGGCTCAGACTTTAAGATTCCTTCTCTCTTACATTTTCTAAGTCTTGGAAAGCCCCTTCTTCTTGAAAAATGAAGCTTCATAACATAATGGAACCCCATCACAACAGAAATTCTTCTTTTGCCGAATCTTGACTTTGCTAGATGGTAGTTTGTACCCTGTGACCCCACCCTCTTCACCTCCATTCAGGTCCTATCAGTGGTGTAAGCCTCCTTCGACCTTCAACAAAGATAAATCTGCCCCTATAGCTTCTTGTCAAAACTGCTGTCTGTACCAGCATATTCTTCACCCGATGGCTTATGGTCTTTTGGGACAGTATCCTAGAAATTTGTTTTGTTCTCTTCCTTCTCCTCATAATCCAGGCTTCCAGGCCTTCTGCATCAGACATTCCTGCATTCTTCCCATTGAATCCCTCTTAGTTCTTTATAAGATTGTTGTGAAGCTAAAAAGAGAAGTGCCTGGAAAGTGCCATGGAAATATAGAACTATTGAGTTAAAGATAACCAGTCTCATGCCCTTGCAGGTTTACAACTTCCTTTAAAACAGGGATTCCCACCTATTTGGAAGGAAAAGTTATTAAATTTTTATTCTGAAGCCTTCAGAGCATAGGGAGTGTGTGTGTGTACACACATGTGAGGTAAAATGGAATGATGGAGAGTGGGGACAAAGGGTGGGAAAGTGGGGAAGAGGGAAGGGTGGATATGGTACTGATGTGGAGTTTCTAAGTGGGAAGTCTCAGGTGGACTGGAAGATGGGAAGAAGAGAGAGGAAAATCCTGTCAGGAATGGTTTTCATCAGAATGCGCCCAGTACTGGCTGCCATGGAACAAAATGAGGTGCTTGTCCATAGGAGCTTAGTTTCTATTCATTGTCAGTATACATCCTCTGTAATGCATCTTCTGTAAGATGACCTTCTGAAGGTAAAAACACAGGAAATATCTCTAGACAGTTATCAAAGCACCAACTACTGAACTCAAGCTTTCCCGGACATATTGCAAGAATACAGGATAATTGTAGAAACTATGTAGAATTCATTTTAAAAAGAAGGTTTAAATGGGGAGGTTTATAGAGTCTTGGAGATCAAAGAGATTTTAAAACATAATCTAATGCAGACTTTGAGATGTTGCATTAATCATGCTTTTCAGGTCTTGAGTTCTGTTTCTTTTTTTTTTTTTTTTTAAGATTTTTTATTTATTTATTTGAGAGAGAGAATGAGATAGAGAGCATGAGAGGGGGGAGGGTCAGAGAGAGAGGCAGACTCCCTGCTGAGCAGGGAGCCCGACGTGGGACTCGATCCCGGGACTCCAGGATCATGACCTGAGCCGAAGGCAGTCGCTTAACCAACTGAGCCACCCAGGCGCCCGAGTTCTCTGTTTCTTTTGTCTGGCACAAAAGTCCTTCTCAAAACTTGTATATTTGCAAGCCAGGGTATTCTTCATGGCTACTAAAAAAAAATCCTCTTCCTTACCCAGTTGTTTTTTCCTAGATTCTAGATTTGGAGTAGACTAGAGAAAATTCGGGCACCTGGGTGGCTCAGATGGTTAAGCGTCTGCCTTCAGCTTGGGTCATGATCCCAGGATCCTGGGATCGAGTCCCGCATCAGGCTCCCGCTCAGCGGGGAGCCTGCTACTCCCTCTGCCTCTCTCTCTCTCTGTCTCTTATGAATAAATAAATAAAATCTTTAAAAAAATAGACTAGAGAAAATTCTCCTTTTATTTCTCTAGACCTGAGAATATTAAATAACCAGCTCACCGGTGGGAAAAGTCAGTGGGTGCCCAGAAGCCACATGGTCCCATAAGAAACTCCCAAGTTATAGGAAAATAAATTCAGTTAAAGCATTGACAAAGAAATGCAAGCTTTTCTTTTCGGGGGCTAAAGTGTAATTTTCTTGTGCTAAGAATATTTGAAGTCTAGTTTTTTGCTGCTTTTATCAAAATATGTATAGCTAGTACCTGACTATAATTAATTTAGTCATTTGCAACCTTTACCCAATACTGTATTCTCGACCTATCTTAGTTTTCCTTTTCCTCTTTCCATTTCCTTAAGGCTTGTTTGTGAAAGTGTGATTAGATTGATATGTTACTCCTCCAAGTTCCCAGGATGAGGAGGAGTTCTCATTTGCTGGGTGTATACTGTATACCTGGCACAAATTTACATCATTTAATTTAATTTTACACTTTTCTTAAGAAGTAGTTAATCTTAGTACACTTTACTGATGGAGAAAAGGAGGCCCATGAGTCACAGAGGTGGTAAATGGTATTGAGTACCTACTGTATGTCAGACACTATTTTAGATGCTGGGAATGTAGTGGTGAACAAAACAGATTGCATTCCTGCCCTGAAAGAACTGCTACTCTAATGGAGAGAGTCCGATGAAAGGTGTGTGAACAAACAGGCACTGACAAATGTTTAAAAGAAGTTAAAATAGGGGCACCTGGGTGGCTCAGTTGGTTAAGCGACTGCCTTCGGCTCGGGTCGTGATCCTGGAGTCCTGGGATCGAGTCCCGCATCGAGTCCCGCATCGGGCTCCCTGCTCAGCGGGGAGTCTGCTTCTCCCTCTGACCCTCCTCCCTCTCATGCTCTCTGTCTCTCATTCTCTCTGTCTCAAATAAATAAATAAAATCTTTAAAAAAAAAAGAAAAGAAGTTAAAATAGGCAATGTGGTAATGATGCCAAGGTTTTTAATCTGAATAACTGAGTGGATGGGGGTGGATGGGGCAGGATGTGGTTGTGATGGAGATGGGAGAAATGATTAATTCTGTTTTGGGCATATGAAATGTCAAATAGTGATCAGGCATCCACATGGAGCTGTGGAATGGAAGTCTGAGCTCAAAGGAGAGGTCCAAGCTGGAGATAAACATTTGATAGTCTTCACCACATAGACTGCCTCCAAGCCATGGGGTTAAAAAAAAAAAAAAAAGAAAAGTGGATAATTTGTTTTTATATAAAGGGCTTTTTGCTCAGGTTGCTGTGTGAGCAAGGTGATTCAAACATGTCTTAGCTTGTCCACTCAAACTAAAGCCATCCAAAGCTGCTCAGCCACAGGCTAGTGGACTGTTACCATAGCAACAGTGTCCTGTCAAAGGGGATAGGGAAGCTTTTCTCATTTTGAGGCTAGAGTCATGTCTACCATTTTAAAATGAAAGTGTTCATGACTACACTGTTACTCCTTTTATTAAGGCCCAAATGTGTGCCTCAAATCCGTTTCAGGAACTGTTGTGATGAGACTACCAGCTCCTCTGCAGAAGTGGATTTTCATTAGTGTGTAGGTGTCCAAATAACCCCAACTTCTGAGCTGAACTTAAATGATGTGGCTTCATATTTCTATTTTAAGATATATACATAAAACCATCACTCAATTTAGATTTTCTTATCAAAATTCTTTTGATAGCCTATTTTTGCTTATTTTTAAATTTTTATGGGGTGTTAGAAAATTTATCTTTCGTTGCTTTCACAATACTATGTATTTATTATACTGGTAACGGTTGCTATAAAGTGCCAAAGGAAGTTGTTTTTGGGTAAAAATTCTTTTAGAGGAGGAAATAATGAGGCTAGAGATGATTGATTTCAGGTAAAGCGTTTCTCAAGGTGAAGTCTGTAATAAGAAAAGGCCCTTAATGCCCCCAAATATCCAGGTTTTACAATGACTTAATGTTCTACCTTTTGAGGATAATTTCTGTTAATCCAGCTCTGGATTTTTTTTGTAGTTCTGTTTTACTTTTAAAAGTAAAACCATACATGCATGTCATAGAAAATTAAAAATGAAGAAAAGCACCAAGAAGAAAAAAATCATTTGTAATCTCTCACTCAAAGATAAGTACTAATAATATTTGTGTGCATGTTATTCCTGCATAACTTTTAAAATAAAATAGAAGCATACTGAATATACTGTCTTGCTAAATAATACCTTTTTCTGATTACAAAGTAACACATTGTAGAAAATTTAGAAAATATATAAATGCAAAAAACCCAGAAAAATAATAATTACTTATTATCTTATTATCTGAGGTAGCCATTATGAGAAATATTCCTACATTTTCAAGGAATACATGCATTTTATTTTTTTATTTTAATTTTTTAAAATGATTTTATTTATTTATTTGAGACAGCACATGTGTGCAACCGGGGTGGGGGGGGAGGTCGGGGTGGAGGGTCAGAGGGAGAGGGAGGGTCAGAGGGAGAGGGAGAAGCAGGCTCCCAACCAAGCAGGGAGCCCGACATGGGGCTCAGTCCCAGGACCTTGAGTGACTTTAACATGATGCTGAGCCATGACAGATGTTTAACAGACTGAGCCACCCAGGTGCCCCTTAAAGAATACATGTATTACGTATGTACACATATGTATGATAGATGTATATATATTTTATGTTAAAGTGGGATTTCTTATTTTGCAACTTAATTTTTCCACAGAATATCATTCATAATTTTGTCTATTATTCTGCTACACAATTATTTTAACAGCTTTATAGTATTACATCATATGGCCACATGATGTAATTGTTTGCTAAAAATATAGATATTTATGCACAGTGCCATGATTTCATGCAAGGGAGTAGGTTCATATCAAATTAAAATGAATGTCTTCAACAATTTTATGCAAGGTAAATCAGGACAGTAGGGTATCAAGATAATTTGTAAGGGGAAAATATGTAGCAAATGAGCAAGTTTCTAAGATATGGGTCTGAAAAGATTAGGGTAGCTCCCCAGCTTGCTGATGATGCATTTTTGAGCATAGGGTTGTGATTGGGGCATTTTATTTTCATTCAGCTATATTTAGAAAGGTTATTCAAAAGCTACTGAACAATGTTAAACTACCAGTGTATTTTGCACAGTATGCTTATATACACCTGCATAGATAGAGATACAGGAGCAGATATAGAACATCATCACCAACTTGATGAGGTTTATGGAATTCATGTTTTCAGTGTACAGAATATTTCAAACTGGCACTGAACATGGAGGCCTGGACCTCAGGTATTCATTCTTTTGGAGACTAGCAGACCAGAAACCAGGTTCCTACATTCTATGCAGCCTATGTGGCTCTTTGGAAGGGTTAGTAATGAATTTCATAGTGAATAGTACTTGCATCAGGGATATTTTGGGACTTATTAAAAATTCAGGTTTTTGGAGCCCACTTGACAAAAATTCTCAGGTTTAACACTTTAACAGAGGTGATTTGTATGGAAATCAAATTATTAGAATGGGAATTAATTTAGGGAACTAAGAAAAAAATGCCTGTGAGCTCCTTAGCATTAGGGATTTTTTTTTAAGATTTTATTTATTTATTTATTTGACAGATTGAGAGAGAGAGAACAAGCAGGGGGAGGGGCAGAGAGAGAGGGAGAAGCACGCTCCCCGATGAGCAGGCAGCCTGATGTGGGGCTCAATCCCAGGGTCCTGGGATCTTGACCTGAGCCGAAGGCAGATGCTTAACCAACTGAGCCATCAAGACATCCCACATTAGGGATTTTTTTGTTTTTATTTGTATCTCTGGCACCTAGCACAGTGCCTGTCCCATGGGAGGTGATAGATATATATTTATTACATTGACTATTTAACACTTATAATGTTGTAGTAAGTTCTTGCCTTGTATATAACATTTTTCTTCAGAACAGCTTGTCATAACTTTTCAAACTACTCTCATAATCTTCGTGATTGTGTCCTGCATACAGTAAGAATTTAATTGTTGTTGACTACATGAATGAGTAAAATAATGTGTGGTAACACCTACTCACTCTTACCTCAGAGCAGTGTGCTACCTCCAATTACCTGGGATGCTGCCTTTTGTCCCTGAAAGTATCACAGCTGGGAGTCAAACCTTCTGTGTTAAGTTTCTGCCAAAATTTCCACATGACCATGAATGAGCAACTGCTGAGCTCTACTGACTTGGGCTTTGTAATCTATAAATAAAGAAAATTGCAGAGATTCAATGAGATAACACCCATGAGGATACTTTGAAATCAGTAAAGTGCTTTGCAGAAGTAAGTTATTATTATTCTTACTTTCTCCATCAAGGTCATCCCCATCAAGAACTTTTCCACCTGCCTCGGTTCTTGGGAGAGCCAGTCACTGTCCATTTACATGTGGTAAGCTTGGGGCAAGAGTATATTTAAGAACTTTATGAATATGACATCCTTAAGTGTCAGGGGTGGCAAATAAGTTGACCCATGTCCACCATTTCACCTCTGGTATCCAAGACCAATGTCAGTGAAGAATTATAGTCCTCTACTTCTTATGTGCTCAGAAGTTGCCTCCCAAACTTTGTCAACCTAGTGCAGCCTCTGTGATTAATTGTCACTGACCTTTCAGTAGAATCTATTTGCCATCTCTGATGTAGGATAAATTTATATATAAGTATGGATGTATTAGATTTGAGTTCTGCACATATTTTTTTAGAGATATGAGATTCCATTGTATGTATGAAAGATGTGTGGGCTGTGTGTATATATGTATTGTATGTGTATGTGTATAGATACAGATGTATGTATTATTTGTGAAACAATATTGAGTATAACATAAGACTGTGAGTGTATGTGTATATGTAAAATAAAGAGAAACAAGAGGATATTAAGGTCATCTTTTTAGCTAGGCTTTAACATTAAAAAGTCACAATAAAGTCTTGGGAAAGAAGTTGAAAGAACAATATAAAGACTACGTAGGTCTCCCAGCCGTTAGCAAGTGTTACAGTCAGCCCCGCAGACTGGACACCAGAATCAGATTTTTTATTTTATTGCTTGGGGGGCCCCAGCTGGAGTCTTACCTCTTTGGAACAGGACACAAGTCTGAAAGATTTGGATAATTTAGGCTTTACAATGTGATAATTGAGAGTTTAGTTCCCTGTAGTAGAAATACCAGTAGTCTTTTGGAAGAGTGTCTCAACTGTATCTCTTAGCATCTTGCTCAAGTGTTTCATGTCCTAAATGAATTCTTCCCTTCAACAAAAATCAGGTCACTTATAGAGCATCTACTAGTATGCCAGCCAGTGTTAGTGCAAAAGCCCTGAGCCCCCAAAATTTAGATTAAAACATAAGTGCTTTCTACTATCAAAATACATGTAATATTGCATGATAATTGCTTGTGTCTCCCACTGAAGTATAGATTCCTATGACACAGGGTTGATTTACTATTGTATTTCTATTGGTTAAACCAGGGGCTGGCAAACTTTCTGTAAAGGGTCAGATAATGAACATTTTAGGCTCTGTAGACCATATATTCTCTGTCTCAACTACTCAGTTTGCCAATGTAGTGAGAAAGCAGCCATAGACAATATAAAAGTGAATGGGTGTGGCTGTGTTCCAATAAAACTTCATTCACAAAAGCAGGTGGGTTGAAATTCGTTCTCTGTTGCTTGCCATTTGGTCAGAGCTCAATAGATTTTTATTAGTAGTAGTAGTGCTATGTTAATTTTGTTGAATTCATAAATGAAAGTCTAATGAAACACAGTGTTTGCTTTCATGGATCTTAAGTTCTACTGGAGATTAAAACGATTACAACATGTATGAAAAGTCTTGTGATGGACCATGAGTGTGTATTACGGAAGTCCAGAGAACAGGCATCCTATGAAACTAGGGGAGTGGATTAGAAAAGTCTTCCTGGAAGACTTTTTTTTTAAGAAAAAATAGAATATAGAGAGGACAAGAGGTAGAAAGGATGTTCTAGGCTAAGGGAATAGCTCCAGTACAAAGGCAGAGCAGCATCCAAGTCCGTGACACACTTGGAGAACTGCAGGCGGTTCATTATGGGAACCTTAGCTATGGAAGACAGCGTTGCAGTTCGGTCCTTCCACTTGTGCTCTAACCTCCTTGTCTGTTTTCCTTTGGGACCTACTCCATCCTTTTTTTTCTTTACCCTCTTTCTCTTACTGCTTCTTTCACCTTCGTGGATAAACATGCTCAAGGATTCTCTTTATTTAAAACTACTGTTTCCATTTCTACAATCACCACTACCACCACCATCACCTAAACCGCCACCTCCCACCAGCATCTCCACCAGCACCTTCGCTGTGTCTGCCACCACCACCTTCTTATCTGTCATCTGTGCCATCCCTTCTGCCACCTCCTCCACTATCCCACCACCATCACCACCGTCGCCATAGCCACAGTGAAACCTTCCTTTCGTCCTCCAGCCCTCTATAGCAGTCATGACACATCCCTATCTCACAGATGACCCTCTTGAGAGAGTAGTATGCACTTGCTTTTTCCTTTTTAACACTCTCATTTGCTGTTCGGCCCACTACAGCCTGGTTTCAATTCTTGTCACCCCATTGAAATTATTTGAAATAAAGTCATTACTTACCATGATCATCGTATTGCCATACTCAGTGGACTTTTTGGTCCTTAACGTATTTGACCTCTCAGTGGCCTTTGATTCTGTTCGAATTTCGTAATGCTAAAACCTCTGGTCACCTCCTAATTTTTTTGTCCTCTTCTTTTCAGTCCTCTCTAAGACCATCGTCCAGTTACCTCTTAAATGTGGGTGTTTTCTTGCCTGTCCACTGATCTCACAATCGTAAGTCAACTGTGTGTGTAACCTCTCCTACTCAGTTCCTACATCCAGTGAGTAGTAACAAGGAAGTTTGTTGCAAGTGAGTAAGAAAACTTATGCAAAGATGTGTTTGGCATAGCTGCTGAGGGAAATGAGAAAGGGAGTTGGCTAAGATGTGCTGGTCAGGGCAGGGAGCCCAGTGGAATTTGCACATCTTAAATTTGTAATGTTTTGAAACCACTCAGTGGTATATTATTTCCACCACGCTAAGAATAGGAAAAAAATTGATTTAGTGGATATTTGGGTAGAAAAAGGTATAAAATCTCTCTACATAAACTTCCTTAAGGTCTTCACTGGGACTGCTCCCTACACTGACATCATATCCTCAGATGGTTGAGAGTGTATGGTTATCAAAAAACAGGAATCTCTAACCACTTTGTATTTAAATCAACACATCCTTCTTGTTTGATGTGATAACTCTTTATTCTACCCTTCCTTCATTTTCAGAGATGTTGTAAGTTTATATTTATTTTTAAAAAATTCATATGTAATAAAGTTAGATTTGTCTGTACCTTGATGTAATCTTTATAGACTTTAAGATGATTTTTTAAATACCAAATCCTGGAACAGACAAAATAAATTTTGATGTAAACATTTGGAGCTATCCCCCTAAAAAGGGGCTCCCTTGTATTTTTAGAACTGGACTGAACCAGCTCTTTCTTAACTAGAATCCTTATCTGACAATGCATGGATAATTGCATGTCTGAATTCATATGTGTTATTTGGTTTTCTACTTCATGTTCCATTTTCTGTTGCAGATACTTGAACATATTACATAAAATTATTAGAAGTCAGAGAGGATTATATTTTGGATAAAATCCAAATATTTTACTGTGGCCTTTCATTTAGAGGTCCCCAGTCTGTCTCTCCAGCTGCAGCTTTCCCAGCCTCACAACATATGCTCTAGCCATATTGAATTACTTCTGAATCTTCAAACATGCCTTGCCCTCTCTTGCCAGCTTGTCCTTGCTCGTGCTACTCATTCACAGTAGATTACATTCTCTCTAATTCCTGTGAACTTTTCAAAGCTTCTCCTTGGGATGTCTTTCCTGGCACCCTAATGTTAACTCTATCATAGGACTTCATGCATCACACTGTAATAATTCTATCTTTGTTACTCCTGCTAGACAGTAAGATCCTTGGAGACTGTTTTTGTCCTGATATCCAGTGCCTAGCACAGGGCTTGACAATTGAAGGCATTCAATAATTGATATTCAGCTGAATGAATGAATGAATGGATGAAGGAAGTTACTCTTTGTGTTTCATTTTTCTTTTTAAGTCACATTACTCTTTTTCATATTTTCAGTCATTTGTCACAGTTTTTTGAATATAAAATCATGTTTTAGTAGTACTTAATATAAATATTGTTTGTGAGTGTTTTTGCATTTTTGTAGTTATCTAGTATTATTCACCAGAGATCTTGTGCTATACCTGCTCCCCTAGGAGCTTCACCTCCTCTGTTTTTATGCATTTACTTGCTTCCACCTGCAGTCCTGGACTGGTTCGTACTGCAGCAGAAAGTATAAAAGCCTTCCTGCCAGGGACTGGAGGTTGCCTTAAAATCAAACTCTCCTTTTTGTTGGTACCTGGCATCTTTTCTTCTGTTCTTACTTGTAGGTCACCTGGTTCCTACTGACCTGCCTGAGCTTTTGCCTTGCCTTCAAGCTTTGGGAATCTTCAGTTCTTCTGTATCTTCTTGTCTCTGCACTCACCTGCTGTTTGCTCTGACCTTCCTTGCAGGCATTGATTTTTCCTTTTCTTCTTGGTTTCTGACTTACTGCAATGTCTGACCTCTGACTTATCTGTGTGTTTGAATTATGGACTAAGCAATATGGTTGCTGTTTTTTTTAATCACTTCACCTGGATCCCTTCATTTGAATACACCTTGGCTTTCCTGGTCTTAGATGAATGCATCATTATCTTTAGGTAAAGTCCTGGCTCTATATAAGAATGCTATTCCTATTTCTTCATATTGTGACTTTGGAAACTGAGGCACAGAGATTTATAAACTCCAAGTTAACTACTATGTTATTTATGATATATAAGCAAAACATATATTCTAATGAACCTGAAAGTAGTGTTTAATCTATGATATACTAAATAAGTATTTTTAATTGTGGCTGTGCATGAGAATTACTTGTGGAACCTACAGTATATGCAGGTGCTTGGGCCCTCCGACTGAATCAGAATCTTGTGTGGTGTGGCCTCAGCATATATACTTTCCAAAGTGTCTTGATTCATTTTGATGGACAACATGGGCTGAAGTTGAGAAGCACTGCTGCACCAATGATTACCCTAGATGTTGTACACTGGAAATGACAACGAGGATCTCAAATCTTAGAGGACTAATGAAAACCAACATTATTCATTGCTTACTGTATGCATCTAATTTTTCATTTAATTAACCTTCAAATCAACACTATGAGCTAGGTACTGTCCACATAGATGGTGATTAAACTTAAATTGAAAGATGTTCGGTTACTGGGCCAAGGTAGGTATTTAAACCCAAGTCTTTCTTATGCTTAGATGTTGTGCTGTATAGCATACCAATAACTCATTGATTCTTTGTCATCATAAACAGTATATTGGAACTGTTACTAATCCATCATTTTACTACTAGAGTTAATATGTTCAAAAGAAATCTGATCCTCTTATTACCTTGCTTGAGGATTCCTGTAGTCTCCTAATTGCTGACAAGATAAAGTAAATTTTCCTTGCCATGATATAAAATATCCCTCACAATCTGTTTTCCAACTCCCTCTCCAATTCTATCTTCCCCATCATTTCCTCTATCCATTTCCCACCATTTTTGTTACACATCAAACTCAGAAACAATGAAATACCTTTGTATTGGGATTTGAGAGTCATTTGAAGAAGAGATCAATTCTCCTTTCCAGATTCTGAAACAATTGAAGAGTCATAGGAGGCAAGGATCAATAAATCAACTTTAGTATGAGTAAAGCAGACTAGGAAGAGGCAGCTTGGATCCAGGGTCCTGAGCCTACCTAGCTGGTCATGGATGAAGCAACTGGATAACTGCAGGCCTCCCACAGAGGCCCGGGAAACCTGGAGCTGGCATACCTTGGTGGAATACTCTTGCTGCCTGTGGGAAGTAAGCACAAGAACTGAGGCTTCTCAGTCTTATCAATCCCATCATCTCTGTTTCATCTAGGGTGGAATGAGTGAGAGATCAAAGGAATCTTCCCAAGATCTCTAAGAGGATTGAAGTCCCAATTTATGAATTGAAATATGAACTTGGAAAGAGGGAGTGGATGATTCCCTCTACACTTTTCATATGTAGTTTCCTTGCCTTCACCACCAACTCACCTATTGCTTCTTTGAAACTTTCTGATTTTTATAATGCAGAACACGTGGCTTCCTCTCCAGCCATAGCATTCAGTTCACACCTCTTTTCGGATATACTTATCCTCCAGCATATGCACTTATATGCTTCTCACTTCCAAGGACTGTGAGCTTTTCTGAGGTAGGAGCCTTGTCTCATTCATTCTTACGACACCTAGTGCTAAGCACAGTGCCTGGAACATTGTGTTCATTCTTCACAGGTATGAGTATTCCAAGGTATGACCACTCCAAGCTGCCCTGCTCGCTCCTATAGAGTGGCCTGCAGTTATTCAGCTGCTTTCTCTGTGCGTAGCACAGTGCCTGGAACACAGCACCTGCAACATGACCCAATAAAGTTTGAGTGAATGATTTAGTTACAGCAGATAATTTCATATGGTGAGATTTACTGGCTGCCATTCTGTTTCAAGGTGTTGGACTAAGCCAATAATAAGAGATGTCTGTTTTGAGAATGGACCAAATATGGATAAAGTCAACAAAATGTTACCATGGAACAAATTAAAAAAAAAAAAAACAAAAATGTAAAATGTCAAACAAAAGCTACTGAATTGGGAATCTGTAAAATTCCATAGGTTGTACAGGATTAATCCTGTAAGATAGATTCACATGCTCTCAAAAGTGCTATTTATCATGCTATGTCACTGATATGAAGTGTCACATATATGCCTAGACATGAACTCGTGGGAGATTTATTCATTTGTAAAGCCCACATTCTATGAATTGGAAGCATTAAACTTTTCTTGGAAATACTTATGCCAGCTTATCTTTACAGCCCACCATTAAAGCTTTGCTCATATTTCTTTCAGACTGGTACTTTATTTGAAATGTTTAAGCTTTTTAGGTTTCAGGAAATAAATTTAAATTAATACACAGTCCCTCTTAGATGTTGCCATGTAAAATAATCAAAGGAAACAAATATTGGCATGGAATTTGTAGTTATATTTCTGTGCCTGTGAATCAATTTAATTCATCCTCTGGTCCTCTGAACTAGTTGATGAAATCACTGAAGAGAGCAGGTCAGCATGCTTATACTTTACATTTGCCCCTCTAGACGTGGACTCTGGAAGCAAATTTCTTTTCTTTTCCCAGAAAAATCTCATTATAGTTTCCTTCATACAATACTAAATCTTTACAGAAGAAAATAAATACAATATTAGAATATTTTCTTGAAGTTGTTAAATGTGAGATAATGTAGGTAATACATAGTGCCTAGTATGAGGAGACGATAAACTATTGCTGCTAATTTTGCCTCACAATGTATTTCTCTTCAAATTTTTAGTCCTGTAAGCTCCTAGAGGCCAATAACCATGTCTTAGTAGCCTTTGTATTGCTTGCACCACCTAGCACAGCCCCTTGCACATATGAGATATAATAAATTTTGGTGAATAAGTGAGTCAGTTAATTAAAGAGAGAATTGAATGGGATAACATGTGAAAACAGCTTGCAAATTATAAAATGCTGTCCTAATAAGAGATTACTATTTTTTTTAGGATTTTATTTATTTATTTATTTTAGAGAGGTAGTGGGGGGGAAGAGAGAAAGAGAGTGTGCGTGTGCAAGCAGGGGAGGGGCAGATGAGGAGGGAGAGGGACTCTAGAGCAGACT